GATCCCATACTAAAAGAAATAAGTAAATATTTGTTAGATTATGTATTTACCCATAATTTGGTTTGATACACTGGAAAAAATCTAAATCCAAATAAGTCATTTTTTCTTAAAATAAGTGCATTTGTTCTTGGATTGAGGAGGTAAAAGATGCATTTTGCCATTGGAACAAGAAAATTTACATTTAGAATAAGAAAACACAATTACATTGTTTTAATTCAAGTGCATTTTATCTAATTATCTTATTTTAAGAGTAAAAATACTCATTCAATTGGCAAACTATCTCATTTATCTACTCAAATTAAGGGTAAATACACTTAATTTAAGACATTTTTACTTATTTCTAGATCGTTTTTCCAGTGTAAATAAGATGATCTGCCAGTGAAATGAAACGTTTTAGTCTTAAAATAAGACCGTATGCACTTGAAATAAAAAAAAGCAATTATTTTAAACAGACTTATTTAGATTTACATTTCTGCAATGTAGCTGCACCTCAAAGTTTGCACCCAAGGCTCCACCTCACGTTCAGCCTTCCACACGTCTACGTTCAACCATACATGATGCATGCATCGTCATTGGGTATTTAAACGAGCGAGCTGATCACTATAATTTAATGGTTACTGATGTCAACTGCAGGGAAGGGAGCAAAAAAGAGTTTAATCAAGGCAGAAACAGATGTCCTGGTGACTGGTTTGGAGATTCTGTTTATTATTTACACCTTCAGAGTCTGATGTTTGGACTGAATATATTAACAAAGACATCCAGGCATCTTTAAGGTTACTGCTGGTATTAATGTCTCAGATTTCTGGATAGTTTTGTAAAATTATTTTGTTTCTTATAGTGTCTTAATGAAATTAAGTAATTAATTAAAGTTATTGCTGGTATTAATATCTCAGATTTCTGGCAATACTGCATCATTTAAATTTAAATTTAAAAAGCTGGAAATCTAGGAAAGTAAAATACCTATCTATATATTTTTATATATTGCCTTCAAGATGGGATTCTGCCAGTGATTTCTCGTTTTTAAACAAGTGGAGAAAACAAGCGCCTCAGAAAGTTCTCTCATATTTCCTCCTTCACTGGATCTTGGTGGCAAATGATAAATACCTTTTAGGGCAGTTTATCAGTAAGCAGCTAAACTAGCATTCAGCATATTCCCAAAAAAACTAGCCTCGTGATACCATCCTGATCTCGCGAGCTTTCAAGATTTCACTCGC